AAAATTGAATTTGCCGCCGCAGGTCTTTTCGGTCCCCACACCTTCGTCCTCAGAAGTAAATATTTATTTAAACAAGAGAAGAACATTCTTCTTTCATGAACGAAAATGTCCTGCATGTCTGTATGTCTGGGTGCTCCGTCCGTTGCATCTTTTTTTTCTTTTCAGATTGTCTATTCGAAATTCATCTGTTCAATTTCTTCAAGGAAGACCTGAGACGAGAATTTACATTCGCACAAGAAATACAACGAAAGGCGAGTCTTATTCATGCACTTAACCACAGGACGATAATATCATGTCATCATAGTATAGGAAGTAGGCACAAGATGTATGTACGGATATTTATACTTATCTATATGTTTTTGTGTATGTATGTATGTATATATATACACACATACATACATACAACACACATACGAATATATATATATATATATATATATATATATATATATATATATATATATATATATATATATATATATATATATATATATTTATATATATATATATATACATATACACATGTATGTGTGTGTGATACACAATATATATAGGTATATACACACACATATATGTGTGTATGCATGTATGTATGTATATATATATATATATATATATATATATATATATATATATATATATATAATATATATATATATATATATACAGCTCCACATAAAAAAAACCGCAGCCTCCGGAGCTAAGGAACGCCGGATTTTCGAAAATGCCGTTTTTTATGGTTATATGTGCTGCATATATGATAGAAAATCACTATGCAAACAGTCTTTTCACTGAGGAAATTAAACATTAAATGAAAAGCATATGTCATAAGTTTCACTATGAGCACAGGGATGCTTATTAGCACATGCAAACAAGGCCACAAGGCTGATCCTAGAGTACAGTGCCATTAAAACATAAACGGCGACTCCAGCAAACAATAGTGCGCCTATATACTGAATTTGAAAATGCTCTTTGAAATCGGTGCCGGAAATCTGAAAGAACCGGATTTTCGATGACCGGATTTTTGAATGTCAACCTGAATATATATACTATATAATAATAATATATATATAATATATATATATATATATATATATATACATTTGTAAAGAGAAGAGAATCTGTTTGAATATTAAACATTTCATACAGGCTTGTTATATTATTTGAATCTGTATATAATCATTTTTAATACACATATACATACATATATAATATAAATATAAGTATATATATATATTATATATATATATATATATATATATATATATATATTAATCATGCATAACATACATAATACATATTATATATATAAACATGTACATATATATAATATATAATTATATATATATATACATATATAATATATATATAATATATATATACATATATATATAACTATATCTAATATATATATATATATATATATATATAATATTATATATATAAATATACATATATAAATTGAAAGCAAGAGATATGACGGACACAAAGCGACGTCTATACACACAGGTGAGAGAGATCCTGGCAGACGTGCAACAGAAGTGGCAATCCGCCAACAACAGCACTGTCCTCCCGGTGCTGGTCGGGTTCCACGTCCGTCGAACTGACTACGCAAGCCACGCCAGTGTAAGTTGAGTGTGACTGTCTCTTAAAAGGTCTTGGTTGCGGGAAGTTATGGTCTGGTTCGTTGACTCTCCTAAGCAGGGGCTGTCTCTTTCGAAAGCCAGGCTGCCGAAGAAGGGAGAAATGCGAATGGATGCGATGCACGATGAAACGGTTGGGATTTCCGCGTTTCGATGAAATCTTCGTGAGAATTGCATCCTTACCATTCTGGTGAAGATTTAGTTGAAGGGCGGTATAGAATTTTTTCATACTAAAATTATTCATTTTCATTCATATTTTTTCTATATCTGTCACAGTGAACAATGTGCACAACAGTTGTCAGAATAATAAAAATTCCAGTTTCACATTAGTTAAACGTCGATTCCCATCGAAAATGCCCGTCGTTCTCACTCACAAAATCATCATTATTACCATTACTGTCAATGCCATCACAATCTCGTTATCAGAGTGATTATATCCACAGCCATTCTATTTCTATCATCCCATCTATATCACCGAAATATATTTTTTTCAATCCTTTGACAAAAACATTCCGCTCATACCCGCAAAAAAGAGATCGCTCGCCTTCCTGCTTTCCAGTGGGCCTTCGGAAGCAAACTGCCCGGGACCACGTACTTCACGCGGGCCCTCAACTACTACAGGAAGAAGTTCTCCAATAAGGTGGCCTTCGTGGCGGCTTCGGACGACATGGCCTTCGTCAGGAGGAGCCTCGGTATGCACTCGGATGTGTATTTCTCCTCAGGTAAGGATGGAATGGCTATGCTGGGAATATTAAGGGGTTTTACCCATGTATACAGGTAATTCCAGTGAAAGAAATATTGGCGCGGTATAAGACGGGTGTAAAATGCATGCTTGGAAACGCGTACTGCCATTCATAGAAAAGTACAGATATACCCATAGACACATGTATAATATGCATACACACACACGCATTGTTAGAGAGAGAGGGGGAGACAGACAGACAGACAAAGACAACAGAAGAGAGAGAGAGAGACAGAGACGACAGAGAGAGAGAGAGAGAGACAGACAGAGAGGGAGAAAGACAAACAGGAGGGTTATCTGGCACCTCTTCTAATCTGGAACACTTTAATTAGCTGATACTCCCTGGCAGAGAATATGAAGAAAAATCTGAAAAAAATGGAATTTAAATTTCACTTTTTTGCGTCTTTAGATGAAATAGTATTACTTTAGTCATGATTCCAGTCGCATTTTCGAGCCATAGTCAGAGCATTAGTGGCGTGTTCCGCGTTCGAGGAGGATTTCTCCTCCTGAACACATTTTTCAAAATTGGCGCCTTTTCAACCGTTTTCTAAGCCCCTGAAGGAGCTTTAGCCGCTGAGGTCGTTCATACGTTTAAGATGTATAAATACGTATGTGCGTGTATGAGTGTGTATATATGATTGCGTGTTGCGTGCGTGGTGTGTGTGTTTGTATGTGTTGTGCCTGTGCCTATTTGCGTTTCTGGTTTTATATAAACTGTTCGAACTTCCCCAGGTAAATTCAGCTTCGAGGACATGCGCTGCTGTCGTCGTGCAAACCACAGCATCTTGTCACCATGGGCAGCTACGGCTTCTGGACGGCTATCTGGCGGGGCGGCGAGTCGTCTACCCGGACGTGTGAGACCGCGACGGCGATACAGGATGTTCGTTGTCGTCGCTTACTTCCTCTCTGATTGATTTTTTATTATCTTTATTTTTTGCCTATTTTTATTTCTTTATATTACTTGTTATCTTATTTTTTTTTTTTTTTTAGTTAAGGGCCAATTATCTTTACTCATTTAACTGTTTTTAGCTATTAAATGGTCAGGGTTACTCTGGCTTTGATAATTCTATCTATTTCTGAACGATGGAAATTTGCCAGGGCATTTATTTCTATCAAATAAATCTTTCACGTCTTCTTGACTTGACAGATTTGCGTAAGAGGTAGAATGTACGAGGAATAACTTGGAGGATCAAAGCGATATCTTCAGCAGCCTATCATTGCCACCGATTAGGAATCTATAGCCTGTGACGCGTTAAAAGGACCTTCTCTCCAGTGCCAGTCGTTTATCAGCATCTATCTTACCTTTTATCGGCCCCTTGGATTTAATGGTTGGCCTGCCTGATTGTTTGTGTGTTATCCGTTTGGTAAAATACAGTTTTATTATTACTACTATTATTACTACAC